TTCTTTTCATTGAGAAAAGCACGCACTACGGATTGCATGAGATACTGCACGGAGAAAAAAACTTCGTGCGTGGGACCCAAAGTTTAGGTCATATGGATCTCTGAAGTTTTCGGATTGAGCATCCGAACACTTAAGGTCTAGCTGCTGAGGTTTGGATCACACATCTGAAACTTCAGTTCTTACATCTAAAGTATTTCAGATGTGAGAACTGAAGTTTTTCGGATGTGAGAACCGAAGTACTTCGGATGTGAAAACCGAATTACTTCCACACTTTGAAACCATGTTTTCGATAAGCCTCCAAGTATGATTTTTCGGTGGATATTTGATACCAAAAATATCGCCGCCTAACCGCAATTTTCGTAGGATGATGCTCGGGCCAGTCCCAAGCCTGGAAAAAGTGTGAGGGAGCCGTCTCAATAGCTTCGAGGTTTTCGAAGCCCCTTGCTCTGTAGGCAATTTTTCAATCCTTGTAGGAAAAATTGCCTACACAGCAAGGAGCTTCGAAAATCTTAAAATTTTTCAAAATTCTTTTGCGTCGAAATAACGCGTTTCTGGAAAATTTTGTGCAGTACCCTGACCCCTTGATTTTTTACGCTCTTTCACGTGCCGTAATCCGTTTTTCGAAATATCATCTACCAAAAAAGTTATCGCAATTTTCAAATTCGGGAACGCTTGTGACGTCATTTTTCGAAGACGTACGTCCTTGAAAACACAAAAAATGAATAGAGCGCTAAAAAATACCCCCCTAAACAAAGTTTCAACCACCTATGAAAAAATGACGAGGAGCTATATTAATTTGAACGAAAAAAAATGGCAACTTTGGAAGCGCATAGCTCACGTATGAAGCGTTTTCGGGCATATGTGTATAGGAAAAAAAAGTCTTATTTTGAGCCGAAAAAGCGATCCTGATAGTTAAGTACGTTAATTTCCGGACACCCTGTATAACGCTGTTTGGCTCAACATGTTTCATATTAATAGTTGATGGTTCAACTGAAATACATTTTACAATTAGGAACCACAGTTCCTGTCTTTGTTCAGCAACAGTGCCTTAATGCCTTATGTTTGCCTTAATGCTGATTCTGTGTAACCGAAAGGCCTCGGCTTTTAATATAACCCAATGTGAGTGATAAATCAATGGTGTATAAGTTCTATCCCAGTGTATTGGCTCTGATCCTAATATTGACAATATATAACGCTGTTTAGCTCAACATTTTTCAAATTAGTAGCTAATGGATCAAGTGAACTACATTTTACAATTAGAAACTATACTTCCTGTCTTTGTTTAGAAACAACGTGTAAGCCACTAGTTTTCCTATGAACATGAGTGTTTTACCGATGAGCTTGAAATGGTATAGTTCCGAATTGCAAAGAGTAGACTCCAATTGTTAATTTTCGAATTTTAGAACTATTTTTTCTCGAATTCACGTATGAAGCCAGAGTAATTTCTTACCAAGCGGAGTCAAAAGTAATTGCATGTCGACTACATCTAATTTTTTCAGTGTAAATGTATTAATGAGATGATTGAACACTAAGAAAACACTAGAAATCGCTTGAAAAATTTATTAATAACAAGAAAAGTTTACAAACTAATGTACAAGAGTAACATATTATCTAGGAATCGACAAGGTTGTTCTAAATGGAGAATTTGCAAGGGTCTGAAATTTGATGAATTTCCTGTTTAAGTGGAATCCTCTGAGTGAACTGAACACGAAGATACCCTTGATTCATAAATTGAGCAATTATTAGAGGAGATATGGCAAAATAACCGATTCCGCTGAAATACATGTGTTTAAATGGGAAATGCCGCCAGATGACGTCACAAGGCGGCACATTTTCTCACTTTTAAATCAATTTTTCTCCAATTTCCCATGTCAGAAAAAAATTATGAAAAATATTGCGAACTCAGCTCATTAGGCACTTTCAGATGAAGCAATAAAAAAATTGCGTGCAAATTCTCCATTGTCTTATTACTTAGGACAAGTAAATTAATTTACAAAATAATACGCAAACAAAACAGTGTTATAATAGATACAGACATGATGAAAGATTAAAATAATATATGACGTGATGTGCCATGGTTTTTCACAGCCTTTGACTGAAAGTTGTGTCTTGACAATAATTGATGTTGTATTTAGCAACACCTAGGTGATAGTTCTTAAAAGCATACGTTAAACGTTCTGTACAGATTTTCGAGTTTTATCATTCCTAAACGATGCAATGAGCAAGAACATCTTGATTGAAAAAAAAAAAAAAATCACTAACTGTGGNGGGGGGGGGGGGGGGGGGGAGTCTGCAGAGGAAAGGACTCTGTTACATATTTATCATTCTGAGAAAGTTCTTTGCAGTTGAGAAATTACACAGAAGCTCATAGAACATACCGGAATGGAAGAAAACTATACTACACTCGTGGTGACAATTATAATTTTATGGTGAAATGTTCTGCTTTTAATCATGATCCTCTTTTGTACTAAAGAAGAGTACTTTTTGAGGGATCACTACCCCTGGAATCTTATGGGGTTCAAAATGGGTGATAGCCCAGAAACATCGAACATTACATATGGATCCCCTGGTCTCCATAAAACCTACAGTTAAACAGCAAATTTTCCCCAAAAAGCACACGTCTCTAGTTACCAGCGGTCAGTAGAAGTTGTGAGTGATCCATACTATCATGAAAATATTAATGTAGGTCTGAGTTTTTCAAGAAAAAATGTTAATGAATTTCACATAAATTTTATTTGTCAATTCTTTGTGAGGGAGAGTCTTTTTTGCATAATGTTATTTAAGACACGTGAAAAGGGGATGAAACGTACGCTGTAAAATTCAAGTGAGCTGATTCCTTCAAACGCAAACCCGTCGCCCTGCTTCTCTCCTCTTAAATCCAGTGGCGTGGTGTGAATTGCGATGTATCGATTGTTATACCATTCAAACCTACGGTAAAGAATCGATTATTAAGGTGTTCTCTGCGAATACCCTGTTTATCAATCCTTTTACATAGGTTTAAATGGCATAACAATCGATATATCGCAAAGCACGCCACGCCACTGCTAAAATCGTCAGGAAATCAGGAATGGGAGAGAAGAAGTAGGGAGGGGAGGGGGAGAGGTAAAAAGGCACGGAAATTAATGTAACCCTTTCCAGCATGTCGCGAGGCGGTTCATAATGGACCACTAGACAAGGTACGAATTGAAGGATTCTGATACATGTTTCTTAACCAAAATTTCACGCAGAACACGATTCGCGAAACGAAAATGACTGAAACTAACTCCTAACGAAGATATTAAAGTTTTTATTTCACATTGGTTACAAGGAATTTGAACTGCCCGCTGACAAGAAACTCAAAGCTCTACGTGAGTCAAATCGCGCACTACAACGGTTTCAGCAATCTTCTCAATCGAGCAATGCTCATTTCCCACCATGTGTTGTTCAAACTATTAGCAATTTGCTATAACTGAGCCAAAGCGTCAAGATTGAGGTTGCCAGATTTTTATATCGCAGAGACTGTCATGATAAACGTTTAGCGCGCGATATGAATCACGTAGAGCATTGAGTTTTCATGAGCGGGTGGTTTGAATTCACGCATCAAGAATCATTAAATATCTTCGTCAGGAGTTAATTTCGGTAATTTTCGTTGTGTGCATCGTGTTTTACGTAAAATTTCGGTTAAGAAACATGTATCATAATGCTGAAATTCGTACCTTCTCTAGTGGTCCATTTACAGCTCAACTCTGTACCCATCCTAAACAGGAAGAATGCATGAGGGAAGAGTGGAGGTGGCGAACCCGAACTTTGAAGTACCTCCACGACAATGCCTCGTGGCCGACTTGGGATCAGAGATACATATTTTTTTTCGGATTCTAAAGGAGCGTGAAGACTGCACGATCTCCCTTCTCCTATTTGGTTATGGGACTTAGGTGCCCTCCGAGACACTTTTACCCGGCGGAGTAGATTCTGTAAAACACATTATGAATTCAACTAGAGTACCTGTATAGCGAGAGTATGGACAGATCGCTTCATGGAAGGCTTAGGGCCCAAAAGTGCAGCCACCCTTCTAACCAACTTCTAACGCACAAAATTTCACTGCCAGTCTGTAGATTCCAATTATAACGAAGATGGCTAAGAAAGTACATAAATGAGCGTTCTTCCACAAAAATGAGTAAATTTATGCAAAAACTAAGTCAAATACGTGCTTCATAAACGATGGTTCGTAATAATTGTATTGATAAATCGCTCTTGGTAATTGAAATTCATAGGTTGGCTGCATTTCTGGGCCCTAACTTTATTCGCGGAGGCATCGGTGAAGGCCTGATGGACTTTCGGAGTTTCAGATCTGTCGGTACTCTCCTTATACAGGTACTCTAGATTCTGTAAAACACATTATGAATTCAACCAGCCATCAGACGCCCGTTATTACCCGGCTATCCCGTCATTAAGTGATGTGAATATAATTTACCGTAGCTATGGACCTTTTCCTAGAAATGAAATCTTTTCTCGCTTTTACAATTTCAATTACATCAAACTTAGATAACGATGAAGCAGAGGTGCAGAATTCTGGCGCGTATATGTAGTGTATCGCCTTTGCGATCGTTTCAACCCCCCCCCCCCTACCTCCCTCGATACAATGTATAGCGTTAATGGAGTGGGGTCTTGAGGAAAGCATTTAAATCCTGTATTGCGACACAACAGCCTCGAATCCTGGAAGATTCAAAGGTTTTGCGGCACTCCTCGAGCAATATCTGAGCAGAGTGGCACTATACCTGTCTTGTAGGCACCACATTTTCGAATTAATGTTAGCGGCTGCTTTTTACGCAAAAATGTCGGTCACAAAAGGTCCCGAAATTAAATTGTTTGTAAAATTCAAAAAAAGCATGGTGGCAATTTTTTTTTTTCGATTCAATCATCCATCTGATGATGAATTATGGCCAAATGGGGAATTTTACAAGGCACGATAATTTCCCATTACAAGAATGTGTGCAACGCCGAGTGATTTTATAGAACGAACCGGATGGCCGGATATCGCGACGCTCATGCAAAAAGATACATTCTTCACGATATTTATAAAAACGGAACTGGAGGAACCGGTGAAAACGGCGCTATGCGATCTTTGGCTAAACTTAGAACAGGCACCTACTGTATCGCAGCGCACGGAGGACACTTACACGTCCTCCACACCTGCGACTACAACAACAGCACATGTAGGTGCTACCTCACCAAGGTCCTCCGGGGCCGTTTCGGAAAATGGTTGGCTCGCAAATGCTCTAGCACACGAAACTTGTCAATCCAAAGATGGCGTGCTTTCGCAATTTATATGTCACCAGGAACACGGTCAATCCTTAAAATTAACAACTCAGGGGGAAATTGGCTTCGAGGTGGCCAAAATCGAGCTATACCCCTTTACGGAGGTGGTCAACGAAGATCGGCTGAACTGGTGGAGGGTGGCCCGGACCAGAGCTCTCATCCACTTCAATGGACCTCCAGACCCGGATCTACTGGCGATAAAACGCATTTTGGACAAGAAGGCGAGAGAGATTGCGGAAATGGAGGGGACGGAGAAGAAGGTTGTCAGAGCGGCGTCAGCAGGGGAACGCAAAGGTCCCACAAAGGGGAGCAGATCCTAGCAATGATAATGTCATCCACTGTCACCCCGTTGGCGCGCTTTTCCGACTCACACTTATGGCTGGAATCGCATTATCGCTGGATGCCGAATGACCAGAAATCCCTACGTCAAGCACTTAAATTGGCACAATATTCCATCAGTAAGATGTCTCTCATTCAAATTTTCAACCATGTAAACAGAATTGACACTAATAAACTATTATTCGCTTCAGATACTCCTTCAGAGTACTATTTCGGGATCATAAAATCATTTGATGTATGTATGGAACTATTATCATGGCAAATGGGTTTCGAGAACCTTAAAAATTTTTTGCAAGACATTTTCGACGTTCTAGAAAAGGTGCGTCCCAAAGTTAATACACTTTTCATACTGGGAGCTCCCAATTCCCGCAAAAATTTCTTTTTCGATAGTGTTATACACTTAATGGTTAATAATGGCCAAATGGGCAATTTCACGCGGCACGATAATTTCCCGCTGCAAGAATGTGTGCAACGCCGAGTGATTTTATGGAACGAACCCGCGGCTGAATCGGGGAGCTTTGAAAATTTAAAAACTGTTCTGGGAGGGGATAATTGTCATGTAAAAGTTAAATATAGCATGGATCATATACTACATCGCACGCCGGTAATCATTTTAAGTAATAACGACATTTTTCCAAAAGATCCTGCATTTAACTCAAGAATAGTAAGATATAAATGGAGAAACGCTCTTTTTTTAAAAGATCATAAAAACCTTTAACAGTGTCATTGAAGATCCGCAAATATCATCCATTTTAGAAATATTTCGATCCAGCATCCTCGAGTTCACCGAGAAAGTTTTAAAATTAAAAAAGCAGCCACGCGATGACTACCGAGAGTTGTTAATTTTAACCCAAGTCTTTTTAGGCAAGTTAAACCGTTTAAAAACATTTTCTCCTCCCGGCCCTATTCATAGGGCTCGACGAATGACGATAGTCATTTACTGTCTAAAAATCTACTTGTTTCGTGATCAGTTTGAGATGGAGGATTCCTATGTTGAATTAATTTGTTATGTGTAAACCTGACAACCTTAATTATATGCAGTCTGTCTGAAGAATGTGCTGATGCTGAGCATTGCAATGTAACCGACTGACTGCGAGACTTACTGAAAGATATGCGGATTAGTCCAAGCCTACACCTCGACCCGTGATCATTTCTCTCTTTTTCCTCCTCAATGAGCTAAAATAACACTATAGGTTATGGGCCCAGAGCTCTTGCCGGTTTTGCCGATGTGATGTAAGTGTTTTTCGTGAGTTTTCGGAAACTTCTAAAACAGGAAATGAAAGACTCTTGTGAAATTTCAAAATAAAATAAGACCAAGAATTCAACATCCTACATAAAAAGTGTAAGAGATCTCTGAGTTTTTATAGTGACAGTCTATGTTAAAGCTTAGTTTCAAGCACCTTTGCCCATTAGGCGCCTTTGTTAAAAGCTCAAGTAAGTAAAAAGTCTTGTAGTTTCAAAAACATTGCAATAATTTTGATCGTGTCATATGACCTAAAATAAGGAAGAAGCATGATAACATTCTGTGTTTAGTGTAATAATTTTAATTCCGCCTTCAATTTATCTTCTAGCGAGTCGTTCAGTGGCCTATTAAAATTGATTTTTTCTGGGTTTCAAAGCTTTCTTTCGTCAAGGTCCCACATTTTACCAGAACACTGGTGTCTATGCTAAAACGGTCACTTTAGACCAACGTAGCACGGAAACATGCCGATGCGCTTTACACTTAGGTGTTAACGGTTGCTTTTCTGAAGCGGCGCGCCCGTCGCTGCAGTTTTTTAAGTCAGTCGGTCTTCTGTTGTAAGCGATAGTACATTAAAAATAATTTTTGCTTTAGCTGCAGATAAGAGTAAGTCACTAATAAGTTTTGACGTTGCAAGCGCTTTCCTTTACGGAGACCTTCGGGAGCCTGTATTTATGAGTGTTCCTGAAGGATATAAGGAAACAGAGAAGGTCTGTATGCTGTCAAAAGCCTTGTATGGGCTGAAACAAGCTCCTCAAAGGTGGAACGTCAAGTTCACCGACAAACTCAAAAAGAGGGGACTGGAAGCCCTGGATACGGAGAAATGTATTTTTGTGAATGCTGACCGAAGCATAATTCTCGCAATACATGTCGATGACAGTCTTGTATTAGGAAATAATTTGGAAACAATGCGTAAATTGCTAGATGATTTGAACAAAGATTTTAAAATAACTATAGTTCTAGAGTTGAAAAGCTTCTTAGGATTAGATATAGAAAAAATAGGCGATTGTGTCACTATTAAACAGACAAAGTATGTGGAAACTTTGCTCGAAAATTTCAATATGGAGAGGTCGAAAGTTTGTAGTCTGCCTATGTTGCCAAATGAGATAACAGAGGGGAGTGAGCAAACAGGTACTTCTGTAACCTTTCCTTATCGTAAATGTGTCGGAAGTTTGCTATGGTTGGCAAATAAAACAAGACCAGACATTTGTTTTGCAGTCAATTATGCTAGCAGATATCTAGATAGACCGACTAATGCTCATGTGGCTCTTGTAAAGCGTGTGTTAAAATATGTAAATGGTACGAGAGAGCTGGGCATTAAGTTTGTAAAAAGTGGTAAGTTACAACTTGACGCGTTCTGCGACGCTGGTTTTGCGGGCGATCCTGAAACGCGAAAATCCACCAGTGGATACATCATTTTCCTGAATAACGGACCTATCAGTTGGGCTTCACGCAAACAAGGGGTTGTTGCTTTGAGTACCACTGAAGCTGAGTATTATTCAGCAGCCGAACGCATCAAAGAATTGATTTATTTAAAAAACGTTTTAGATGAAATTACTGGAGAGAACACGCTAGTTGTTCTGCATAAAGACAATCGGGGCGCTCTTAAATTAATGGAGAGTGGAGTTTTCAATAAAAGAACCAAGCATATTGATGAAAGGTATAAATTTATCATTGAGAAGATTGAAGAAAATCTCATTTCTCTAAAATATTGTCCTACTGCAGAACAATTGGCCGATTTGCTAACTAAACCTTTAGGGAAGGTGAAATTTGAATATTTCAGAAATAAGATTCTTTCATAATGAGGATGGCATGTCGATCGTATGTGTGTTTATGTTCATGAAATATCTTTTTGTTTTTTTTCATGCAGGAATGTGAAAGTGTTTTTGAAATTAAGCACCTGCGATGTTTTCTGGTGAAGGAATCATTACCTAATCAATGGGAATTTTGTTTACTGCAAAGTAATCTGGTGAAAGTATATGGCCTCAGAGGCGATTTATTGACACTTGGGCATCTGCGTTCAAGAGTGTATACATAGTTGTTAAGTATATTTTCAAAATAAAAGTAAGAGAACATGGGAAAGCGAGAGAAAAATGAAACGAGCACCGTGAAGGTAATTTTGTTGTTTATGTTTTTTTTGTGAGCTGCGGTTTGCAGCCGGGCTAAGTTTTTCAAGATACTCCGTTCTTTAATTTTTGCGGACTACCGCTTTTTCAAAGAAGGTGTTGGGAAACGATCTTTCGTTTCATGTAAACAAGGAAAAATGCTATGTCCTACTTAGAGTGTGCTTGCTTCACGTTTCTCGACTCTCGCCTCAGTCGTTCAATCCATGTCACCTAGAACCAGTCGTTGGTTTCTTTTCACCTCCCAACACTCCAACCAAGCATGGGAAGTCATCCACAAATCAGCTCATTAACGATGGTGTGCCATCATAAAATCGGGTCAAATCAGCAACACTGCAGTATGATACTTCCCTATAGATATTCAAACCGACATTGTTTCCTGCATTTTTACGGTGCATATCAGGGAAATTAGGAACTCGCACCATAGGTATGATGATGCGAGTTCTTAATTTCCTTCAGTTTGCTCTCTCGTCTTGTACGATGCTGTCATGCGTGTGGATCAAATCGAGAGGTCGATTCAGACCCGAATATACTATCGTCAACACCGCGAAATTAACGGCGAGTGCTACCGCAGCCGCCAGTCGGGGTTATTAGAAGTGCACAACGTGGAATACGTTGCACCGATACCGTTTGACGAACTTTTGAGACCTGTAGTGCGACACCTGAAGGAGGAGCTGAGGACTGCTTTTAGGCAGGAACTTTCCCCCGAGTTTGACGGAGACGCTCGGTTTTATATAATATATTGCGAAGTCCACGGTGTTTTAACAGACGATAACGGAGAAGAACAGACGGTTACATATAAATCGGACTCGTGGTACCGTAAAACTCGTGGTAGTATCATAAACGGAAAAGTTATAAGGAATTTCATTATAAAATCTATTTGTGATCAACTGCGTGATTTGTGGTTTCAAAGCTTTTTTTCGTCAAGGTCCCACATTTTACCAGAACACTGGTGTCCATATTAAAACGGTCACTTTAGACCAACGTAGCACGGAAACATGCCGATGCGCTTTACACTTAGGTGTTAACGTTTGCTTTTCTGAAGCGACCCGCCCGGCGCTCCAGTTGTTTAAGTCAGTCGGTCTTCACCAGCCTTCTCTGTCACTTACAAGATATGTCTTGTATAATAAAATAATATCTCATTCCAAAAATATTTTACCGTTCTTTAAAACTAAAAGTAAAATACAAACCAACAGTCTTTACTTTGTCAGAAACACCTATCAGATATTCGCCGTAACTTACTCAAGATAAATTGTTTACAATGTTTGACACACGAAGATAACCCGTATGGTACAGATGCACTTAAACTCATCATCGAAATTCATTACCAGCTTTTGTTGTTGAATGCGCACCAATAAATGACACTCAGTTCAGCTTCAGTGCTGACATATTTATAGAATCTATATAATTCTATCGCAAGCTAAAGTTGAAGGCATGACACCAAAAATCTTAAGTAATTGTTTACATTGATGTTAATGGAGAGAGGCGACAACATTTCCAAATTGAGGCTTTTTACCTGTAAGCGTGAGCATTTCTCTTTAGATGACTTCGAAGGTCGAAAATTGCAGAGAAATTGCTGGCAATGTGAGAATTATTACAATGATCAATATCACACGCC